TTTTGCCAGGTCATTGAGTAGGCACAGTGGTCTATACGATGAAGGAACTAGGGCTGGCTTGTTACCCTTCCTTAACAAAACTAGACGGACCTGTTTCCAACGAGCAGGGAACATCCCCTCCGCCAGACATCTATTAAAAATTCGTTGAAGTATATGCTGGTCTACAGTATGAACCGCCGCTAATATCGCATTGGTAATACCGTCAGGACCCGGCGCCTTCTTCTTCCCCTTAACAAACTGCACTACCTCATTGACTTCTTCGATGGAGAAGGGTAGTATTTCGAAATGGGATGGAGCAACCAGCGGAACGGGTAACATACCGGAGTGATCCGGAAAAAGCTCTCTTGCTGTTTCTCTAATCGGGGTACCATCCATCCTCCGCGTCTCCGAACCACCTTTCAGTTTCCCCATCACCAGCCTATAAGGCCTACCCCATGGATCCTTGTCGACCATATTGATAAGCTCCTGCCAACACTTTCTCTTGTTATCGCATATAGCCAACTTCAATTTTTTCCTTGCCTGCTTGAGGTCTTCCTTTAGGCGGTCCAGCTCCTCCATAGTTGCCCTCCCCTGCAGGAAGTCAGAACCTGCCCTAGTAGCTGCCCTCCTGGAGAGAATGCATACTCTCCTCAGTTCAGAGATACCACTGCTCCACCAGTATGCAGGTGGTTTTCCATGGGGTGGAAGCTTCCTCCTTGGCAGTGCGAAGTTACAAGCGGCATGAACCTTACTCTCGAAGACATCCAGCATGCCTTCTAAGGAAGTATCCTGTAGTCCATGTATAGACCACAGGTACCCAGTCTTAAAAGTCTCGAAGTCCAACCCGTTCGATGTGTTCCATCCAACTACATTCGGGACGTGGTTAAATTCCCACCGCTTCCCATCCTGCACAGTGAAAGAAATATAATTATGGTCTGACCCATTATACTGTTCAGCAAGCACCTTCCAATTAGCTGTCCGAGTTATGAGATTAGTTGACACAAATGCAATGTCTACCACCGAACCCCGACCAGCACCTACAAAAGTTGGACTGATTCCCTGATTTAGTAAATGAAGATCCAGGCTGGCCAAAAAATCACTTAGTGCATGTCCTCTGGGATTTGATTCCCAATCGCCCCACATAGACCGAGCATTGAAATCTCCAGCAATCAAGACCCCGGAATTCTTGTTCTGTATAGTGTTTTCCAATCGAAGAAGGAAATCTTCAAAACACCAAGTAGCCTATTGGGAGAACTGTACACCCAAATCCCGTCAAGCTCAACCGCTACAAATTCTTCATCGCGTTCCACATTTCCCAACACAATGCGGTCTGAAAACACTCCCACTGCAGCACGGCCAGTTCCATTGGAAGTGTACCACTCTCCTACACCATTGTGCAGTTTGTAGGGGTCCGCGATAATAACCACATCCAAACAGTCCTGGCATATCTGTTGCATTAATAGGTCCTGTGCCAGCTGACAATGATTTAGATTGCCCTGAAGGAAATTTATAACACGGGAGCTTTGACTCACATATCCTCCACCGGTTCTATTGAATCTAGGCATTTACATTAAAGACCTCTTCCACCAATTTGGCTGAGAACGCCTTCTTTTTCTCCAAATCAGCGTGGCAGTCAGTGGCAAAATGGTCCTGCACCCCGCACGCTCTGCAGCACTTACTACGAGCAGGGCCTTCCCACGCATGTGTACTATGCCCAAACGCCAAACATTGGTAGCAACGAATCTTCCGCTCAACTTCTCTGACCCTTTTTTTTTTTTTTTTTTTTCCGATCGGCTTGATTGTGGACCGCCCTGGAACTACCGTTAGGTATTACTTCAGGGCGGCCCACGCCCTTCTCTGACCCGACAGCTGACGAATCCCAGCAGCAATCTATTGTTCTTCAAAATTGCCTTGGCTGCCTCTGTAGTTACCGCCACCAGAGCAGTTTGGCTCCCACTCCAAGTCTCCCGTAGGCTGACCACCTTGACCTCTTTGTGTGTACCGCAATAGCTTTGCATCGATTCCACTATTTCTTCCTTTGTAGTCAGGCAGTCTAGGTCCCTCACCTCTAGCAATGTGGATTGAACTCCTCCTTAGTTGATTTCTCCAAATCATCCAGTAACGACGTCGTATACTCGAGAGTCTCACTATTCAAACTATCAACTGACCTAATACTTTCCTTGGTCACCGCAGTCTCCCTCAATCTAATAATAAGCGTTGGGTTTTCACGCGTGAAGACCTCCTGATCTTCCATTCTCGCAAGTCCCATAGGTGCACTAACTTCTGGCACCAGCAAATCCTAAGGCATCACTGAAGCCAGACAGTTTTGTGCATTAAGTCTATCCATCCCAATTGAACCACTCAGCGCTGACCAGATTTTCACGAGCTGACTATTCCTAGTAGCTAGTCCCGATTTGAAATTTTGGGGCAAAAAGGCCCAAAATTAGGGGGAATCCATTTGAAGGGATTTTAGTGTTGGCGTACCACCTTTTTTTTTTTTTTTAAAAATAACACGACCGGCCTACATGCGGACCGCCCCGTAACTACCGTTAGGTATTGCCTCAGGGCGGCCCACTCCGTCTCTAAAATTCACACCACCACGTTGTGAATCAGCCCGAAATTAATCAAGAGCTGATTCACAACGTGGTGTAGCCTCCCCCGTTAGCCGGATCCCAAAAGTCGGGATCCGTTGCCCGGGTTGCACCACATGGAGGTGGAGGCAGGACTTTGCGAAGGGGGCATAAAATAACTCACAAACATATAAACATAAACACACTAATACCTAAGGCGCCGGCCTAAACCAGCGCCTTAGGTCCTCCTGTACCGGGCGGCGCGGCTGCCAGTGCCTCAGGCGTTCGGCTTCCTCCTTCCTTTTCAGGACGAATTCGGCGAACGCCTGGACGAGCCTCCACGTCTCCCGGCTTCCCAACATCAGGTCCACCAAGGACCCGACGCGGATCGTGGACCCCAGACGGGACTCCAGCGAGTCCCGCTCCTGGGCCCACGCCTCGCACCGGAAGAGGTTGTGCAGAGCCTTGTTTGCCTCTCCCGGGCGATCCTGGCAGTGGTCGCACGTCACGCGGCTGACCTCCGAATACCGTGAAGGTATTCGTTGAAGCAGCCGTGGCCGGACAACACTTGCGTGAGACGGTAAGACATCTCACCGTGTGTCCGGGCCACCCACCTCTCCAGGCGGTCGGGTCCTATGAGGGACCTGGTCCACTCGCCTCTCGTTTCCTCCGAGAGGCGAGTCCGCCACCGGAACATGGTCATCCGCCTGAGCGCTAGCCGGTCCTCGGGTTCGAGGGACCGGTTTCGCTCTCGGCGGAGCTCATGCCCGGCGGCGCGTTCCTCGGCGAGCAGATCGGCGGGCGGCAATGACGACAGGATACCCGCCGCCACTCCGGACACCGTTCGGTAAGCCGAAACTGTCCGGATCGCCGCCCGCCTTTGCATCCTGTGTAGGACTTCACGGTTTTTAGACGAATACTCAAGAGTATCCGCCCAAACCGGGGACCCGTACAGGAGAACCGAGTGTACGACGCTGACTAAAAGTCTACGCCGCATCTCTCTCGGCCCTCCCAGATTGGGCATGAGTCCCGCCAAGCAATTCATGACTTTCTGGGCCCGCTGGGCCGCACGAGTAATGTGCGGCCCGAACTTTAGACGTTTCTCTATGACAAGGCCCAGATAAGTCATGGAGTCCTTAAGCGGGATCTCCACCCCCAGCACGGCGAGCCGTGGAGGAGTGAACTTGTACCTGCCCATGAACAAGACCGCTTCGGTCTTGTCCAGGGCGAGGCTAAGTCCACTCCCCTCCTGCTGGATCCAGGCGGTGACTGCGCTGAGCGCGCAGTTTGCCCGGGATCCAGCCTCCTCGGCCGAGGCGCCTTCACAGGCGGAGGCCGCTGGGGACCTCCGCCTTGGGAGCTTTCCGTTTCACCACCTCCGACCATGTGGTGGTCGGTGCGGGGGCTGGAGCGACAACACGAGGAGTTGTGGGTGGGGGGAGGAGGACCGTGACGCTGGGTAGCGAGGGCGCCACGGTGTCCGTCAGCGAGCGTCCGGCGTCGACTTCCTCCCTCTTCTTCCTACTCCTCTTCATCATCCGCTTCTTTGCGGGGGGAGCGGGCGGGCAGACAACCGCAAACCCCTATACCTCTTTAAGTGCGGAGGCCGTGTTCCCGACGGCACTGAGTGGTGGTCCATATGTGCCAACATACACCTAAAACATCTCTTAATGTCAGTCCATAAGCGGACTCTGCACGACACGAATCCCACACAAAGCCGTCCGCGTTCCAGCACTTTCCCCGCCAGTCCAGAGTCCAATGTAATGATGGCCATTTTTTGGCCTCTAGGCATGGCCCGTAACGTTATTTTGATGTCAGTCAAAGTTCCCACAACGTTAGCCACCGCTTCCACAATCTCATCCTGTTCCGTTAGTTCGTCTAATCCAAAAACCCCCAGCCTCGTGCGCTGCTGCAGCGTGGACACCGGAACGTTGCATCCCACTGCCTTTTGAACAGCCGTAACTTTTTCCACCGCGCCACTTTTCCCGTCCACCTCCAACAACAAGTGTCCCGCCACCGTTTTACGCACCGCTCTAATTGCATTAGCATGCTCTTTCAGAGAGGTCTCCGCCTTTATTTTCTTGAGTACATCAACATAAGACACCGTGTCAGTCCTGATCATGATGGCCGGTGGTTTCTTCTTAGCCTTGGTCTCTTTCTCCTTGATAAACTTCTTTGCCCTATTATTGAAAACCTCCACCCAGGCATTCGTTTCTTCCTTATTTGTAATAGCTGCCCTGAGGTCCACCGATTGGTGGGATACATTCCCAGTCACTACAGTCCTGTTTCCTCTTTTTTTAGAGGTCTCTGCACCTTGCACAATATTTCCCGCAGATTCCTTCTGTTCCAAACGACCCTCAATAGTTTGCCTTAACTAAACTATCGCCGAGTAGATGGAGTCCAACCGTGCCTCGTCTGGAGGGGTTTTTTGCACCACCGTGTTCTCCAAACCATCCACGATTTTTCTCTGCCAGGAGCTACGTGTTTTAGCCGACAAGTCATTGACCTCAGTAACCTTTTTACAAATTCTGTCCGAATCCACTATTAAACCTTTAATAGTGGTGTGGACGTTTCTTCCTGCAGGTGTCCTAATGAAATTCATCATCTGGTTCATCCTCCTACCTAACCTGGCCACCTCCTCCATGACAGGTTTCTCCAGCTCTTCTAATAAGTTTGACGTATATTCCAGTGTCTCGCTATCCAAGCTATCGACTAATTTCAAACGTTCTTTCTCCATAGAGGACTCCCTTAACTTATCAACCAAAGACATTGGAGCCTTTTCAAACACCTCCGCCGCCGCACTCCCTGGCCCAAGGTCCCTATCCATTGACGAATCCGAAGGCATCGCAAATGAAAGGGTTCAGGACATGAAGACGGAAAAAATCGGAGGTTTTTTGCCCAAATGCTATGAAACTCAGCTTCGATAATTATTATGCTACTGTTGACAATGTTACCAAATTTGGTCACGAACAGATTAAAACTGGGGGAAATCCCTTAGAAGGGATTTTGGACCCTTATAGTGTTGGTATACCAAAAAGAGGAGACAAAACTAAAATGATGAGCAGATTCAAAAAATGAAGTGGAGGGGGTAAAAAAGTCACTTTTTGGTGGTAACTCGCCTCAGTCACCTCAGGTGATTGCCACCAGTCCGGCCCTTGTCGGATGATTTTTGAGTGCGCTATCCACCCACGAAGATTCCGGGGGGTGGGGTAAAGAATGTTAGATATTCAAAACACCGCGGACGTCATTCGCGGACGCCGCTAAGTTGTACCACTAGGTCCGACCTCAAAATGGTACAACTGTCTGATACACAATTAAGCACGAGACGTTCAATATGGCCGTCCTCGACCTGCTGACGACTTCGCCGTTGGCGAAACGGGAACCCAACCCAACCCAACCCAACCAATACGCTATGAATGCCGTGGCCCTCAAGGGACTGGGTATCACCCTCTCTGGCACACGGAGGACGAAGACGGGAGTCTTGTTCCTCCAAGTACAAGGAACGAGTGTTTTGGCTGACATGTTGGTCTGTAATATTAGGGAGGCGTTGGATGTCCACGTTCACCGTCCCGCAATGTTTGTGGCATTCATTTTGTTAGATGTTGAGGAGTGCAGAGGGGATTCCGAGACGACTGTCTGCATGGGAGTGGCAAGGACCGATACGCGTGGTGTGAAGTGCAGCAACACTGGTAGTCAGTCTGACACGACTTCGAGAGGAATGGAGCACGTGCAGGGTCCGTGTCCGGAATGACAAGGGACCGCGTTGATATAGGTGCCTTAAGTGTGGGCATATGTAGACGTCCTGTAGGGATCCTGACCGGACTGGTGCGTGCTTCACATGGCAAGCAGCGAGCCACCATGCCATGAACTTTTCTGGTAAATCGGGAGGGCCGGAAAATCCTCATTAAGGTATCTCCAGACCACTTGGTCTTTTCATGTCCTTTGTGTCTGTTGTTAATTCTTTACCAAAACCATAGCAAAGTCTTACCCCCACCTCGATCTGGGCAACGGATTCAACTTTGGATCTGGCTAACAATTAACAATTTTGGTTGTGTTGGGTAAACAGGTGTAACAATTTTTTTTCTCTCACACTCTCACACAATTGAAGGTTTTTGACCGTTCATGACCATCTTTTTTTTTTTGCTCGTTCTATTTTCAATGGACTTGTGTATTTTGTAAAATAAGTTCTAGTTTTTATTCGCATGTATAAAATTTGACCTTGTATGAAGAGAAATGGTCCGATAAAAAAAAAGTATGTCGGATGAAAGGGGTATATATAATGTATTTAGAAAAAAAAATTTGTATTAATGCATACATTTTTTACAGATGTGAAACCCGCTATAAAATGGAAATTGGTCCTAGTAAAAAAAAAGTATGTGCGAATAAAAATGAAAAACATTAAGTATTAATGAAAACAAAATTATATTAATCCATGTATTTTACTGCCAGACGGAATGTTCACCAATTACGATAATGAAATATTATCACATTTGATGAACACACATTTTCCTGACTCGGTAATTAACAACAGAGAACAGTCACATGATGCACAGGACAAACGTGTGACCTGTGCTGAATGGAGACTAAACAGGAAAGTGATAAGCCCAAGTGGAATAAGATGGGCATAAAAACTTTTGCCAGTTTTAGAGCTGCAGGCTATGACGAATTTTTCCCTGCACTTCTGTAAGAAGGGTTAGAGATAATCGTCCCCCATCTCTGCAAAATATTTAGGCCATGCTTTGCCTATGGTCATCAACCGGAAAGCTGGCGTAAGGTTAGAGTGGTGTTTATACCCAAATCTAAACGTACTAACTATTATGAAGCAAAATCCTACAGACCAATAAGTCTTTCTTCTTTTCATTTTAAGACTATGGAGAAACTTATTGATAGGTACATCAAGAAGGGGCCTCTTAAGGAGAACCCTTTACATGAAAACCAACATGCGTATCAAATGGGGAAATTTATTGATACAGCTCTACACTGCTTAACCACTAAGATAGGGAAAGCTGTAGAGAATAAAATGTATGCAGTAGGTATATTCCTGGACATCGAAGGGGNAACCAACCAAATGTTGGTTTTCATGTAAAACCTTTACATGAAAACCAACATGCGTATCAAATGGGGAAATTTATTGATACAGCTCTACACTGCTTAACCACTAAGATAGGGAAAGCTGTAGAGAATAAAATGTATGCAGTAGGTATATTCCTGGACATCGAAGGGGCTTTTCACAATACTCCCTTCGATGCTATGTGTGAATCTGCACAACAGAATGGAATAGAACCACTTATTATTAAATGGATAGAATCCATGCTTAAGGAACGCTCCATTTTGGGACAGCTCAATGAGACCAAAGTAATCAAGAGTGTTAAACAGGGATGCCCACAAGGAGGGGTTCTATCCCCCTTGCTATGGTGTCTAGTATTGGACTCGCTTATTAGAGAGTTAAACAAATGTTGTTATACACAAGCCTATGTGGATGACTTGGTTATAGCAGTGGTGGGTAAATTCCCAGACACTATTATAGACTTAGCACAACAGAGACTTAACACTAAACAGATTAGGTGTAGTAAGTACGGTCTATGTGTTAATCCAAATAAAGCAGAGGTTGTTATGTTCTCTAGAAAGAGAATAGGACTTGACAGTTTTGATAGTCTTACTCTGAATGGACAAGAAATTAGCTTAAAATCAGAAGTAAAATACTTAGGTATTATTTTGGATATTAAGCTAAAATGGAAATCACATGTTGAGTCAATAATCAAAAAAGCAATGACCACATTGTGGACTTGCAGCAGAGCCTTGGGAAAACATGGGGTTTTAAACCAAGAGTTATGTATTGGTTGTACACTTCAGTGATTAAACCTATGATATTGTACGGTGCCCTAGTCTGGTGGACCAGAACATCACTCGTTACAGCTAGGAAAGAACTTAGTCGCATACAGAGAATGGCTGCTATGGCCATCACTGGAGCATTAAAAACTACACCAACGGTCACATTAGAGGCACTAATCGGATTGCCTCCTCTGCATCTAGAGATTAAAGCTCACGCCAAAGCCACAGCACTAAGATTCCACAACTTAGGTTTGTGGACTATGGAGAGTGACACAACAGAACATGGTAAAATACTAAAAGAGATAGACCAGGGATTTTGGAATACCCCTTGAACTATATCAAACCGGTTCTTGAGAATAACATTCCCTACAAAGTGGAGATACTACCTGGCACGTAGACAAGGGTGGGCCTGGCCCCCCCAAAATTAAATTCAATTATTTTTACGAATTATCAAAAACGTACTAGGCCTTACATACATTGACATTATTATTAATTTGTGATTACTATTGAGTAATACAGTTATTATTATGGCTGTATTTTCATTTTTATATTCATAGAAAACGTTATTTGAAAAAGATAACGTTCTAGACGTTGAAATAGCAATTACTCTAAACGTGGTTGTAGGTAAATTTTTTTTTACTCTGGTCCAACAAATGATAACAAACTACGAAGTATCTGCATTGATTAGAATCTAGTTGATTACAAAATTCGATAGAGTATACTCTATGAAAATTTTTTTGATAAATCTTATCTTTAATTTGTTTCTTTTAGCTTCGATGCGAAGCTGAGAAGGTATTGGTTTTACTATCTTGTGTTTTTTTTTTGTCTGTTACCACTTTTTCTAAGCTCTCACTGAACCAATTTCTTTCAATAATATGTCAAAAGATCACAAATTATATCTAGTCGAAGGCATTACCCTCAAAAATTGAAAAATTTTCCCTCGTTCCCGTAAATGGGGGACCTCCAAAACCTCCAAAAAAAAAACACATCTTAGTAAAACCAATACCTTTTTTTTATAATTTTTTTTTTTGTAAATCTGACTCTTAATCTGCCCACAGGGGGGATTTAAAATGACAACTTTTTCACAAAAAATGAACTATTTCAACTTAACTTTTTAAAATGTTCCGGAAAGTCTGACACTTTTATCTATATCTTAAATTAAAGCTAATGTAATATACTATTTTATTTAAAAAAATGTCGGACTTTATTTTGTCTTCACGGTGAAAATGGCTACCGAATGCTATTTTTGTGTAAAAATTCTCGATTTTGTATTTTACATTTTTAACCTTATAATGATATAAATTTTTGAAAAATGTATGGATCACCACAATTTTTTTTATTAGAAATAATATTTTTTAATAATCCCTTTTTCATTCTTTATCTTAATCAGGATATTAATAAGGAAATAGCAGATCATGTAACTTTTGGATTAATCCACCAATTTTTTAAAAATAAACACAATTTTGAACTTGAAAGATTCATAGAATAGGATACTGTCTAAGGAGGAGTGGAGGGAGCACCCCCCCTTTTCATGGGAAAAAAAATTATGGAAAATGATACAAAAATTGTTGGCCCCTCCAATAAACATTTTCTGGCTACATGCCTGGATACTACACGTAGAGAATGGAATATTAACCACCTGACTAAAAAAGGAGGATTTGTGATATATACAGATGGATACAAAAAATCAGGAAAGGTAGGTACTGGAATTTGGGGTTTAAAGCCACGAATAAATGTCAGTATGTCATTGAGCACAACACCCTCTGTTTTCCAAGCAGAGGTGATGGCGATACTGGTAGGGGTTCAGAACCTGCTGGTATACAAAAATAGGAAGATAACAATCTTAAGTGATAATCAAGCGGCTTTGAAAGCACTCTGTAACGATCAGATGAATTCAAAGCTGGTCCTCGAATGCAGGGAAACTTTAGAATCACTATCGAGGTTTAACAAAGTTACACTAGCGTGGGTACCGGGACACAACGGTGTCACTGGAAATGAGAATGCTGACTTTCTAGCCAGGAAAGGAGCAGAGAACACCTATGTTGGACCAAAACCAGTGGTAGGACTCACTACCACAAAACACGGGAAAATCTGGAAGTACTTGGTAGTACCTAGACAATCTAAAATATTTATCAAGATCCCTGGTTTATTGCTGGGTGATCTTAAAAGCATGACTAGACAACAAATAAGCACCCTGACTGGTCTACTGACAGGACATGGTCACTTGCTTAAACATATTAACGCAATGGGGGTATCGGAATCGCCAATGTGCAGGAAGTGTGGAGTAGAAGAGGAAGACTCATTTCACATCATGTGCGAATGTGATGCCTTGTCCACACTAAGATCAAACTACTTGAGTAAACCTTTTCCTGAAAGAGAAGATATTAAAAACCTAAAACCCAGAGAGATCCTTAATTTCGCTAGAAAGACTCTTTGGTCATCTGTAGAGGTGACTTTATGGTTGGTAATATATTAACACTTCGGTAATAACACTTAGGTGGGTAAACCGAATTAAGACAATTCGGTATGAGGTGCGCACAATGGACCAACAGTTCTGAGTGAATGGGAATTATGTCCACCTCGATAATAACTAAAACTAATCCATTTATTTTGAAAAGTTCTAGCAATTTTAAGGTGTAATATAATAAGATATTGAAAATATCATATTTTTTGACTACATCAACAATTTTCAATTAACTGTAGGCTTTAATTTATCATATGTTTAAATGACGCAGTATTTCCGAAACATTGTCAAAACTTAATTTACAAAAGTTACTATTTTTGAATAAATGTTAGATAGGTTATTGGTCAGCATTTCATAAAAAATATACCCAAATAAAAGGAAGTACATAAGGTATTAATTAAAAAAAAAAGTTATTTTTATTCGTTCATTTTTAAAAAAGTTATAGCAGTTTTATGGAAAAAAAAGTTAAAAAAACGTCGACATTACTGAATTTAAAAATTGTTTTTTTCGGTGCACTTTTACCATTTATGGGGACACACGGAAATTTTTTTTTAATTTTGAGGTTAATATCTTCGAAAATATACAATTTATGATCTTTTGACTTATCGATAAGAAAAATCGGTCCAGAGTTGAAAAAAAGTAATGACAATCATACAAAATAAAATAAACATATCATAGTAAAATTAATACCTTCTCAGGTTCGCATAAAAAACCAAATAAAAACTAATACAAATTATAAAATTTAGCACAACGATTAAAAAAATTTAAAAATAACTTGATACTTTATTATATTATTTTACAGTTTCAGAAATAATTTGAAAATGCATTTGATAAGTATTAAGATAATAGTATTTATTACTTTAAAAATATTTATACAGAAAAATAATTGACTACCAGTTTTATTAATTGTTACTATATATTTATTATATCAATATTGATTTTTTTTTTTTTTTAAATGTATTTTNTACCAGTTTTATTAATTGTTACTATATATTTATTATATCAATATTGATTTTTTTTTTTTTTTAAATGTATTTTTTGTCTAAAAATTATTGATTGTATTGCGAAAATTTAGAAAATTAATTTACATCATTTATTTTATAATATGTTAAGAAAAGTACCAATAAATGATTACAGTAAATCGGATGTAAATTATGGGTGGTATGTTTTTTGAGTTAATTAATATTCATAGATACAACTAGGCTAAGAATATAAATAAATGTTCTGTAAGTAAGGCACTTTTCTTGCGCCACACATCTAGCTTTATTATTTAATATAACAGTTATTTTATCTGGAAAAGAAACCATTCTGGTAAATAAATTAATATTTTTATTTAAAAAACTTTCTTTTACAGCATATTTTATTATTTTTATATTATTTACATTACTATGACTATCCAATTTTACATTATTATTTTACATATCCTAATCGCTTACCATCAATTAGTCCTAAAAGTAGCTTTTTAATTGTTTTACACTGTAAATTGTGTAGTTATTTTAATGCTATGATAACTGATTTTAAGCATAATTTTTTAAACGATTTTAATGAAAATTCTCCCAATGTTTCAATTTTTAAGTAACAAAGTAGAGGTTTTGATTTTAATTTATTACACAAAGTAACTGGTAACACGTTTATCTTAGCTACAATAAAAATGCTAATATTTCAATTATATCCATTTATTCAAAAATTGATTCGGTACCGAATACTTAACGATATGACGTTTTATATACGGTCATCTCGTCTTTTTCACTATAATAGTGCGGTGTGCCACCGAGCACCAGCGGTGACGAATTACATGTGCTTACACTTTCCGCCGTCTTACTTCTTGTCATATTGAAAGGTATTTTGAATATTTTTTAAATAATATCAAGTTATATTTATATATATATATATTTTTTTGAACTTTACTTTTGTAAGAGTCGCTATCTTGTTAGCGATGATACCCAAGACTATAAAAATTAATAATAATAAACCCAGCACAATGAGAATTATTATTAAAAAACGGTAGCACAGTGGGGTCGAGGCACAGTGTGGACGAGGCATAGATGGGACAAGTATAGATGATATCTGACAGTGATTAAAATCACTATCATAAGAAACGCTTCGATGCAAATCTGTAGATAGTGTTTCCTTTAGAGAAATTGGTGAAATATTTTAAAAGCAACATGAACTCTTATTTCTTTAATTATATCCTGATTAGTAGTTCTTTGATTTTAAAATATAATATATGAATAAATACTAATTATAGTTTTTAAATTTAGTATGAAATTGTGAGGCCAGCTATGATGTATGGTTCATAGTGTTGGGCGGTTGATAAGAAATTAGAGCAGAGAATAAGTGTAGCAGAGTTGAGAATGCTTAGTTGATGAGTGGAGTGACTAGAGAAAATAGGATAAGGAACGAGCATATAAGAGAAAATATAGGTGTTGCGTCAATCGTAGATAAGATGACAGAAAATAGACTTAGATTGTTTAGTCATGTTATGAGGAGAGAAGAATCGGAAGCTGTAAGAACAGTTATAGAAATGAATGTTGAAGGAAGAAGAGATAGAGGAAGACCAAAAAAGAGATGGAGGGATGCTATTGAATGCGATTTGAGGACAGCTGATGTGAGCGTAGAAGATGTGGGAGATCGTGTCAAGTGGAAGCTTAGGATAAGGGTGGCCGACCCCAAGTAGTTGGGATTAAGGCAAAGAAAAAGAAAAATATTACCAGAAATTCCGGTGGCAATTGACATAATATGATTGTTGTTTCGGAATGTACATTTTAGCGTTTAGTTAGGTTTAAATAATATAGCGTCAAATCAATTACCTACTCTATCGCTTGTATATTAATATACACTACACTTTAATGATACAATAAATAAATAAACTCACACATACACACATATGCATTTATAACATTGTGTCTAACGTAAGTGTAACATGATAAAGAGTAACCTTAAAATGAAAAAAATGAAAAATAAATTTTAGTACTCATATTAAATGTAATGTAACTCGAAAAATATTTGTTTAAATGAAAAAATATATGATAATTTTTTTGTTTATAATTGTCTTTTAAACAACTTTTGTACGAAACTTTTTTTTGTAAGTTAAATATTTTTTGAGAAAGTTAAAAAAGCTCATATTTTGGACTTTTGCGAGGCTGTAATAAAAAAACTCAATTCCAATCAATGAGGACTATTAGTATGTCATTATACATATTTTAATTCAACTTTTAGAAAAACAAAATTGAGTTGGGAATTTTTTCCGCAATTTTTCCTTTGCTGAATGGCCTAGATGTCAATTTTAAACTTGTAATTGAGTTAAAAGTTATGGTAATATATTCAATTTTTTGAACTTTAAAGAACCAAAAAATAGGTTAAAATTGAAAATTTGGGCTGATTATTTTTAACCTATTAAAAATCAAATCAGTAATAATTTGAAAACAAAACGGTAGCACAGTGGGGTCGAGGCACAGTGTGGATGAGGCATAGATGGGACAAGTATAGATGATATCTGACAGTGATTAAAATCACTGTCGTAAGAAACGCTTCGATGCAAATCTGTAGATAGTGTTTCATTTAGAAAAATTGGTGGATTATTCCAAAAGCAACATTAACTCTTATTTTTTTGATTATATCCTGATTAGCAGGTCTTTGATTTTAAAATATAATATATGAATAAATACTAATTATAATTATTAAATTTAGTATGAAATTGTG